AAAAGTTTCTTGGGATCCTCATGAAAGCAGATAAGGCCTTTGAGATGAGGTGTCACATATCTCCTAAAAGCAGTGGTTTGTGTTTTACCAGGAAAGGTTAATCCATTCACTAATATACTTTATGATTACAGTTATGCAATGTGGGTAAGTTATTTAAACTTAAACACAACTAGAAATTTACTTTTACATTACTGAACATGGAATATAGTATAAATCAACTTAGTCAAATCAATGAAGTTTCAGAATATCCATGCAGTTTCTTTAACATGTTGCTTTTCATGGCTAATCTTTTCATAAATGGTGTGTATTTATCTGGGATTTGTGAAATGGATTCTTGCAGTTAAGTAACTTAATTTTTTTGATCAATGACAAGGGGATTGAAGTTTTTCAGGTGACCCAGAGGAATTAGAAGGCTGTGAGAAAAGTTATAATTTTTTTTTTCTTTTCCCCAAACAACCTATTAAGTATTTGGGAATAAAAGAAAGTTACATGGAGAAAGGAAGATGGCAGTAAACCAAGCAGTCCCCCAGTGTCATTGTTGAAGCCTTTGATGGTAGAAGAAAAATGGATTTCTTAGTTTCTTCTCTTTAAGGAGAAGAATCAATTTTCTAATTCTAAGTGATGAAGTTTAAAATTTCTCTATTTGTAGAATTACATCAATTTCTTTCACAAGGAAGAGTAATTTTTCTGGGGAAAAAGAGTTTCTCAGACATTGGAAGCCACGCTAAGCCAAAATTAACCGCTTTCATCTTTGCCTGGGGGTAAGGAGAGAGTTCATGCTTATCAACCATTCTTCTGTCTTCCCAAATGACTGTCTTTCTCTACATTTTCTTTTGCGCCTTCAATCTGAGAGTAAATAATAGAGCCATCAAGCAGGCAACTGTGTCTGGCAGTCTGAGGTTGCTCATTGCCCACAGAATAAAGAAATGAATATTTCGTAGTGTTTGCATTCTACCAATGGGAGGGATTATTTCTGTGTTCTGTTTTTACTTTTCTTCTTTCACTTCTAATTTTTTTATTTGGGCCCTCTCTTTTTCTTGGTGAGTCTGGCTCAAGGGTTATTAATATTCTTGATATTTCAGAGAACCAGCTCTTGGTTTCATTGATGTTTTCTATTCGTTTCTTTCCCTGTTTTTAATTTTTCTGCTTCTGCCTTGATCATCACTGTTTTCTTCTTTCCACTAACTTTGGGTTTATTCTTTTTCTAGTTCCTTTTGGTGTATGGTTAGATTGCGATTTTTCTTGTTTCTTGAGGTAGGCCTGTATTGCTATAAACTTCCCTCTAGAATAGTTTTTGCTGTGTCCCAAAGATTTGGGACCATTGCGTTTTCATTTTCGTTTCTCTCCATGTGTTTTGTATCTCCTCTTTGATGTCTTTGTTGGGTCCATTCATTCTTTAGTAGTATGTTGCTTGGCCTCCACATGTTTTTGTTTTTTCCAGATTTTTTTTTTTTTTTTTTTTAGAATTGGTCTTTAGTTTTATACTGTTGTGTTTGGAAAAGATGCTTGGTAGGATTTCAGTCTACTTAAATTTATTGAGATCTGTAGGCTGACATTTTATTTGTCCTAGAAAATGTTTCATGTGCACTTGAAAAGAATGTGTGTATTCCATTGCATTTGGATGGAATATTTTATATATACCTGTTAAGTCCGTGTGTTTGAATGTGTCATTCAAAGCCACTGTGCCCTTGTTGATTTCTGCTTGGATGGTCTACCCTTTGATGTAAGTGGGGTGGTAAGCCTGTACTATTGGCGTATTACTGTCAATTTCTCCCTTTTGGCTGTTCATATTTGCTTTATGTATTTAGATGCTCCAGTGTTGGGCGTATAGATATTTACGATTGCTGTATGCTCTTGTTGGATTGAAACTTCTATCATTATGAAATGCCCTTCTTTGTTGTTACAGTCTTTTTAATCTATTTAGTCTGATAACTATTGCTTCCCTAGTTTTTGTGGTTTTTTTTGGCTTCTATTTGCATGGAATCTCTTTCCATCCCTTCACTTTCAGTGGGTCAGAAGTGAGTCTCTTGCAGGCAACTCCTGTAGGTGGGACTTGCTTTTTTGATCCATTCTGTCACTCTAGGTTTTTGGATTGGCACATTTAGATTAACATTTACACTTGAAATAGTTGTGATAGGTATGTACTCTGTCGTGCCATTTTGCTCATTGCTTTCTGGTTGTTTCTATAGTTCTTCTTTTGATCTTCCCTTATCACTGATGACTTTTATTTTTTTTAAGATTTTATTTATTCATGAGAGACACAGAGAGAGAGAGAGAAAGAGGCAGAGACACAGGCAGAGGGAAAAGCAGGCTCCATGCAGGGAGCCTGATGTGGGACTTGATCCTGGGACCCCAGGGTCACGCCCTGGGCCAAAGGCAGGCGCCAAACCGCTGAACCACCCAGGGTTCCCGACTGATGACTTTTTTAAGAGTCATTACCTGGCTTTCTCTTTTTTGTGTATCTATTATAGGGTTTCATTTTGAGTTTACCATAAAATTTATATATAACATCTTAAGTATACAGCAGTCTGTATTAAGTTGATGGCCATTTAAATTTGAACACATTCTTAAAGAGCTTTATTCTCCTCATTTTGTATGTTGTCATATTTTACATTTTTATTTTATGATGCCCTGTAACCTAGTTTTTAGGTATAGTTGATTTTACTACTTTTGTCTTTTAACCTTCATATTAGCTTTTAAGTGTTTACTTTTAATTCATGAATTTTTTTTTTCCTTTCATAATTTTCTTCTACTTTTGGAGTCTTTTCCTTTTCCACTTTATAAAGAAGTCCTATTAACATTTCTTAGTGGTGATGAACTCCTTTAACTTTTGTTTGGGGAACTCTTTACCCGGAAAGATTATCATCTAGAATTCAAGGAGAGATATTCTTGGCTTTAGGTTTTTTTCCTTTCAGCATTTTGCAGGCCAGAAAGGAGTGACATGTTATATACAAAGTTCCTGCTGAATAATCAGCTGACAGCCTTTTGGGGTTTTCTCTGTATGTGACTATTTGCTTCTGTCCTTACCTTTATTCTTTGACACTTTAATTATTATTTGTCATGGTGTGGGCTACCTTGGTTTCCATTTTGTTCAGGACTTTTGGTGCTTCTGGACATTCTTTTTTTTTTCCTAGATTAGGAAAGTTTTCAGCTATTATTTCTTCAAGTAAATTTTCTGCCCCTTTTCTGTTTCCTTCTGGGGGACCCATATAATGCAGTTTTTTTTTTTTGATGTTGTCTAAGAGATGCCTTAGTTTATCCTTATATTTAAATTTTTTCTTCTGTTTTCCTATTCGGCTTGGATGCTTTCCATTACCTTGGATTGCTCTCTAGTAGATCATTGATTCTTCTGCATCCTCTAATCTACAATTGATTCCCTCCAGTGTATATTTCATTTCAGTTATTGTGTCTTCAATTCTGATTGCTTCTTTATGTTTTTTTATTTCTTTATTGAAATTATTTCTGAGTTTATCTACTCTCCTCTCCAGTCTGGTAGCATCTTTATGACTGTCCCTTTGAACTCTTTAGTAGAAGTAGATTGCTTATTTCTATTTCATTTACTTCTTTTTCTATTATCTTATTCCTTCTTTTGGAGCATATTCTTTCATCTCTTCACTTTGCGTGGCTTTCAGTGTTTCTGTGAATTAGGCAGAGAAGCTCATTCTAAACTTGAAGGGATGGTCTTTTTTGTGGTTTTCCCAACTGTGAGACTATGCCTGGTGACTTTGGTTAGCTGGCTGGAGCTATGGCTGATGTGAGCTGGGGGTGCTGGGGCTGCCTTGACTGGATGGCCAGAGCTGAATTGGGCACTGAGAAGTCTGGGGCTCTCCTGTCAGAGGGTGCCAGCTGTGGGACCCTCTCCTACATAGAGGGCATCCTTGCAGGACAGCTGAAATAGCTGTCAGCTAGGTTATCCCAGGGTGCTCTGTGCAGAGGGAATCCTGGCAGGGCAAATGGAGCTGAAGTGTTGCACAGGCCAGGTTATGTGGAGGTGCTACATGAAGGAGAAACCTGTTGGGTTAGGTGCAGGCTGTGGGTCCCAGGGCCCTGCAAACTGGTGGTACCCTGGCAAGTTGTCTGGAGCTGAAGTGATGTGGGTCTGGAGTGTTCCTGGGTAGTTTGTATCTGTGTCACCTTGACAGGTGACTGGAGCCATAGTGAGCACTGACAGGGAGTGTCTTAGTGTGTGCAAGTGGCTGCCTTGGTGGATGGCTGGGGCTGGTTGGGACATGGACCTGGGGCTCACTGAGGCAGTAGGCCAGCTATGGTGCTCAGACCCTGCTCTTGTCTGCACTATCAAGGCTACCTAGCAGTGGTGTTCACCAGCCCCTGACTGAGAGACCCCTAGCAGTTCCCCTGCCATTCGGTGGAGTTGTAAGGGATAATATTTTATATTCTAGTTGGTCTTTTGAACTGCAGCATTTTTTCTGTGCCCCAGGTAGACAAACCTGTTCACGGCCCCTCAGTACTACCTCTACTACTGCAGTTCCGCAGTGTTGAGGGTGGGGGTTCCCATCATTACCATGTCTCTATGTTTTTGCCATTCTCTCTATGGTCTTTTCTTGTACAGAAGCTGTTCATTCAGCCGCCTGTTCTTCTTCAGGAGGAACTGCTTTATAAATAGATATAGATCTGGTGTATCCATGAAGGAGGAGTTCAGGGTCTTCCTGGGTCACCATCTTGTACCAGAATGTTGTCACTTTTTGATCATCAAAGGAATTTTGCCCGCAATTACATTTTGGGTATTACGGAGCATTTGTCAGTAAGTGTAATAACGTGAGTAGTAGCCACATTTTCTTCTAACGTAATTCCTGCAGAGATTTGGAGGAAGAATAATTATTACTGTGTTCTCCACTTACTGTGTTGCTTTCAGAATTACCTTGAAGTGAGGAAGATGTTCAGTCCTTCTCCTGTCACATTATAATCTGTGATAACAATAAAGGCCTGGGGAAAACCTCCGCGCTCTTGCTAACCAACCTAATTCTTATCCATGTGTGCAGGTATTGTGGAGGATTACAAGCCACCATTTTACGATGTGGTCCCCAATGACCCGAGTTTTGAAGATATGAGAAAGGTGGTCTGTGTGGATCAACAGAGGCCAAACATACCCAATAGGTGGTTCTCAGACCCGGTAAGCGCACCAGTTTCCTAGTTTCTGAGCTGTCTTCCCCTTTTTACTAGGGTGAAACTCAAGGGTGAGCAGATAACGTCGCTTCTGAGTGATCTGCCCTGCCCGTTGCTTCCTGCCCTATGTAGAGGGGCCCTGGACCTAGTTAAGTAGGTTCACAAAATGGTCTCATCGAAAGAGTGAAGTTCTCCGATCTTGCTAATAAATGACAATATTCACAAGAATTTCTACTGTTGACTAGCTCTAGGAGTCAGGAGACTCAAGACTATGCCACTAGACCTAGGGCATGACACCATCTGCAGAAGTCATTGACTGTGGGGTAGCATTATCTCTTTTAGCACCCAAAAGACCTCAGGGGGTCCATCCTGTGTAATTTACCTCATAAAGTCAGCTGGTAGCATTAGAAGTCCAAAGGCCAGAGTGACTCCTTTTCAGTGGTCAAGGCCTTGATTATTTGTTTAAAGAACATGACAGTAAGTAACCTTACTGACTTCCCAATACCTGCAGAGTTCTGCAAAATCTGTTGATGCAACATCTGCCAAGTTTCTGGGGCCCCCAAAAAGCCACTTTTTTCACTGTGGTCTTTGTTCTTTCTCTCCTCAGACATTAACCTCTCTGGCTAAGCTGATGAAAGAATGCTGGTATCAGAATCCATCTGCAAGACTCACAGCTCTGCGTATCAAAAAGACTTTGACCAAAATTGATAATTCCCTAGACAAATTGAAAACTGACTGTTGACATTTTCATGGAGTCAAGAAGGAAGATTTGACGTTGTCATTGTCCAGCTGGGACCTAATGCTGGCCTGACTGGTTGTCAGAACAGAATCCATCTGTCTCCCTCCGCAAATGGCTGCTTTGCCAAGGCAGACATCCTACCCAGCCGTGTGTTGGGGAGACACCAAAACCACCCTAACCTCGCTCAATGACTGTGACCTGGGCATTTCACAAACTGTTCACACTACAGAGACTAATGTCGGACAGACACTGTTGCAAAGGTAGGGGAACTGGAGGAACACAGAGAAATCCTAAAAGAGATCTGGGCATTAAGACAGTGGCTTTGCATATCTTTCACAGGTCTCCTAGACTCTCCCCATGGGAAACTCAAGGAGGTGGTGAATTTTTATCAGCAATATTGCCTGTGCTTCTCTTCTTTATTGCACTAGGAATTCTTTGCATTCCTTACTTGCACTGTTACTCTTAATTTTAAAGACCCAACTTGCCAAAACGTTGGCTGCATACTCCACTGGTCTGTCTTTGGATAATAGGAATTCAATTTGGCAAAACAAAATGTAATGTCAGACTTTGCTGCATTTTACACATGTGCTGATGTTTACAATGATGCTGAAACATTAGGAATTGTTTATACACAACTTTGCAAATTATTTATTACTTGTGCACTTAGCAGTTTTTACAAAACTGCTTCGCGCATATGTTAAAGCTTATTTTTATGTGGTCTTATGATTTTATTACTGAAATGTTTTTAACACTATACTCTGAAATGGACATTTTTCTTTTATTATCAGTTAAATTCACATTTTAAGTGCTTCACATTTGTATGTGTGTAGACTGTAACTTTTTTCAGTTCATATGCAGAAATGTATTTAGCCATTACCCATGTGACACCACCGAATATATTACTGATTTAGAAGCAAAGATTTCAGTAGAATTTTAGTCCTGAACGCTGTGGGGAAAATGCATTTTCTTCGGAATTATCCATTATGTGCATTTAAACTCTGCCAGAAAAAAAATAACTATTTTGTTTTAATCTACTTTTTGTATTTAGTAGTTATTTGTATAAATTAAATAAAAGGTTTTCAAGTCAAAGTGAATTTTTTTATCATATTAAAAAAATCTATATTCTAGAATGCATATTATTATGGAAACAATAGGAGCACAATGTGAATTTGTAAATCAAATTTGCTTTTCACATCTACTAACAATCTTTTGAGGGTCCTATGAGGATGATATCCAGCTCGAAAATGGAATCCAAAAATTTGAATTTTTTTTTTTGGTTGTGATTATTTTTTCTTGGTCCATGCCCCCACTGTGAAGTGAGGGTGATAGACCTGTTTGATCTGTTTTCCTTTCATGAGGGTTTTGAGTATAAAGAAGGAATGATATCCAAGCAATTTTTAGTATGCAGTCCTGCGTAAGTGGAAATCGATATGTCTCACCTTACTCCTTGGCAAGGGTCTGCTGTTGGCCTTTTTACTTCTTGTGTTCAACAGATTTGAAAGGTAAGATTTAAAATAGCCCAGTTAAGAGAAGAGGGGTGAATTTTTGGAATGTTCACCAGAGGTAAGTTGATAACATCATTAAGATATGTTTACTTAAAGGGTGTATATTAACTTAAAAAACACTATGGTAAAATGTGTTAATACCATTGGATTGTCCATTTAAAGGTGGTTAAGTACATTTACACTTTTGCTGCCATTTCCACTATTCCATCCACAGAACTTGTTTCATCTTGCAAAACTGAAACATTCTACCTGTTAAGCAATAGTTCCCCATTCCTCACTGCTCACAGTCCCTGGCAACCATCATTCTACTTTCCTTCTCTACAATTTGACTACTTGAATGAGGTATCATAGGAGTGGAATTATACAGTATTTGTGAGACTGGCTTATTTCACTTAGTTTAATGTCCTTAAGGTTCACCCTTGGTATAGCATGTACCAGAATTTCCTTCTTTTTATGGCTCATTATATTCCAGTGTTACATTTATGCAGCATTTTGTTTACCTGTTCATGGAGAATTGGGTTGCTTCCACCTTATTCTTGTTGTGAATAATACTGCAGTTAACATGGGTGTATATCTGATTTCTTGCTTTCATTTCTTTTGGTTGTATACCCTAAAGTAGAATAGAATCACATTTAACTTTTATTGAAGTCCTGCATATATAAGTATACCTATGTCCAACTGTAGAACTTGATGCAAGTTTAATTTTTTTGTTGTTTATAAAAATTTATAAATTTGTTACTTTCATGGAAACAGCACTCAGATCAAGTAGCACAACCTTGATTTCTCTAGAATGAAGTCAGCATCAGCATTATGGTGGTATGAATCCTTTTTATTCTTACCTTTGGTTATTGATGTCCAGTTAGATATAAATCAAACAAAAGTGCCTCTGCACATTACACCAGGACACCTGGGAAATTTCTATACACCCATGTATCGGAAAGTAGGTGGATAGGATCTTGGAAGAGACTGTGGACCCAAGGGCGTCAGTGAGCCTGTCCCTCTCCCCTTGCTATGATTGGGGGGGAAAGGGGAACCTGGAGAGTACACAACTCGGTGGACACTCACAGGAGACAGAGAATTTGTAGCGGTCTAAACCAGCCTGATGGAAGATCCCAGCATGTCATCCCAGTGGGATAAGGAGGAGGTTGGAGGCAGAGAAGAAAGAGGAACTATACATGCTAGATGGCTGGTTTATATAAGCACATCTTGAATGCCCCTGTTAATCACTATCTTGAGAATATACAGATCCCATTCTCCTTCTATATTCCCATCAAGGAGAAGATACAGAAGAACGTGTTGTTCAGCATTCAAAGTCAGGGGCTCTGGGAATGGCCAACCCGGAGCATCTTCTTTGTAACAAAGAATGTATGGGTGGCAGACCTTGATCTTAGAATGTTGGCCTGCTAGGAGGAGAAGAGCTACAGATAGTTGCTAGGCTGGTTGCTTCACGCAGATTCTAGCAGTGGATGCTTTTCCAGTCAGCCAGTCCTGGACTCCCTTTAAGTTTCCCCAGTAAATCTGTGTTTCACTCACTATCTCCTGGTCATTTCTTTGGTCTTACAGGACCATCATCCATATTTGACTGTTGGGGTACAGTTAAATAGGAACCCACTGGGGTGCCCCTCTCTCCAGGGCAACATGGCAATATACTGTTTTGTCAGCAGCATTGGCTACCTTGCTGCTAGAAGAAATGGAAAGCAAAAATGGCTGCCCTCCTGTAGGGGTTGCAGCTGAAGTGACCAATTTCTTTCCAGTAGGACCCTGATCTTCGGAGGAGAGATCTCCATGACTGAGATGAAAGAAAGAAAAGGAAAAAAGGCCAAAAAGGATACCAAAGAGTGTTGAAGGAATGTTTCCTGCTGTCCACTTCTGGATTTTGGCAGGAGGTCCACCTATGGACCTCTTGGAGTCCCATGCTGGAGAATGCCTCTATCAGTCATGGGCACCTGCAAAGCCCCAGATGCTAAACCCACACCTCCCTGATCCTTCTGTCAGCTCCCTTCGGGTGCTGCTGAGTGCAGTCTCTAGCCCCCAGGGGAGAACCAAACACATGAGCTCTAGGATCACCTCGCAGACACAAAAGAAACGCTTTTAATTGTCAGCATTTTGAATTATAACAGCTGAAGTGAACAAATTCTTTACTAAAGAAAGGATATGCACCTCTGCTTTTGCATTTGAAGTAGCAAACACAACAGCAAAAAAAAAAAAATCAAGGAAATACAGTATTACTAAAAAATGATAATTCTTCAACCAAATTCAAAGGCACAGAATATAGTGATCTGACATAAAATTGAGAATAGCCATTATGAAGAAATTCAAGCTACAAAAAAACTCAGGCAGTTCAATGAACTCAGAAATTAATTAAATAGTTCTTTACCAAAGACATTAGTTCTTTTTTAAAAAAATTTCAAACAAGTTCTGGAGATGAAGAATTCAATGAATGAGATAAAGATGGCATTAGAGAGCATAGGTAACAGGATAGACCAGATGAAAGAAAATAGGTGGCTTGGAACGAGAACTAAGATTTTTTTAAAAGTGAAGAAATCCTATGGTTGCTATTAGATTTAATGAGAAAAATCAAATAGACTTAACATATTTTTAGAACATTTCATCCTAAAACAGAATACATATTCTTTTCAAGTGCATATGGAACACTTTCCAGAATAGATCACATATTAGGTCACAACTCAGGCCTCAACCAATTAAAATATATCATACCATGCACCTTTTCTGACCACAATGCTATGAAACTAGAAGTCAGCCACAAGGAAAAATTTGGAAAGAGCACAAATATATGAAGGTTAAACAACATGCTACTAAGAAATGAATAGGTCAACCAGGTAATCAAATTACAAAAATACATGGAAACAAATGAAAATGAAAACACAGTGGTCAAACACTTTTGGGATGTAGCAAAAGTGGTCCTAAGAGGGAAGCATATAGCAAGAAGCAAGGACAATCTCAAATAAATGAACAAATGAAGTCTACAGCTGACAGAAGGAAGGAAATAATAAATATTAAAGCCAAAATAAATGATAAACTAAAAGATACACAATAGAACAGATCAATGAGACCAAGAGCCAGTTTTTTGAAAAAAAAAAAATTTAATAAAATCGATAAACCTCCAGGCAGGAGGCAGGTTTCTACCAGAAAGAAAAGAGAAAGTATCCAAATAAATAAAATCACAAATGAGAGAGGAGACATAACAACCAACACCACAGAAATAAAGTTAGAATATTATGAAAAACTATATGCCAACTAATTGGATAACCTAGAAGAATGGATAGATTTCTAGAAAGATACAATCTTCTAAAACTGAAACAGGAAGAAATAGAAAACTTGAACAGACTACTAACCAGCAAAGAAATTAAATAACTAATAATAAAAAAAAAAATCCCAGCAAACAAAAGTCCAGGGCCAGATAGCTTCATAGGTGAATTCTACCAAACATTTAAAGAAGAGTTAATACCTAATTCTTCTCAAATTACTCCAAAAAATAGAAAAGGAAGGAAAAACTTCCAAATGCATTCATGAGGCCAGCATTACCCTGACACCAAATCCACATAAAGACCACTAAAAAAGAAAACTCCGGGCCAATAACACTGATGAACATGGATGCAAAAATTCTTAATAAACTAGCAGCAATACTTTAAGAAAATCATTCACCACAATCAAAGGGATTTATTCCTGAGTTGTCAGGATTTATGAATATTGAAACACGGTGTTTCAATATTCATAAATCAATCAGTGTGAACACCACATTACTAAAAGGATAAGAACCATATGATCATTTCAGTAGATGCAGAAAAAGCGTCCGACAAAGTAGAACATCCATTTATGTTTATCATAAAAACAGTGAAATTGCAGGATACAAATCAACATACAGAAATCTGTTGCATTTCTATACATCAATAATGAAGCAGCAGAAAGAGAAATTAAGGACTCAATCCCATTTACAATTGCACCAAAAACAAGATACTTAGAAATAAATCTAACCAAAGAGGAGAAAGACCTATAGTGTGGAAACTATAAAACACTGATGAAAGAAATAGAAGATGAATACAAAGAAATGGAAAACATTTTATACTCATGGATTGGAAGAACAAATATTGTTAAAATGTCTATACTATCCAAAGCAATCTTCACATTTAATGTAATCCCAATCAAAATATCAATAGCACTTTTCATGGAGCTAGAACAAATAATCCTAAAATTTGTATGGAACCATGATGACTCTGAATAGCCAAAGCAACCTTGCAAAAGAAAAGCAAAACTATAGACACCACAATTCCAGACTTCAAGTTATATTACAAAGCTGTAGAGGGCAGCCCCGGTGGCTCAGCAGTTTAGTGCCACCTTCAGCCCAGGGCCTGGTCCTGGAGACCTCAGATCAAGTCCCACGTTGGGCTCCCTGTGTGGAGCCTGCTTCTCCCTCTGCCTGTGTCTCAGCCACCCCTCCCCCCCCCGTATCTTTCATTAATAAAAAAAAAAAATCTTAAAAAAACCCACAAAGCTGCAGTGATCAAAACATATAGCACTATGGTACTGACACAAAAATAAACAGGTAGATCAATGGAA